CGTGCAAGTGTGTGTGTGTGTGTGTGTGTGTGTGTGTGGATGTGTGTGTGTGCGCGCGCGCGTGGGGGTGATCGTGGGGAAGATGCACCCGATGCCCCGCAAACGCTACACTGCGTTGGTGTCTCTGGGGCACCGGGAGGGGGAGGGACGGCCGCAAGCTGGGGGCAGGGCGTCGCGTGCTTGCGCCGTTATGCGTGTGGCAAAAATCTATGATCTGATTGGTCTCAAACCGCTGCCGTTATCACCGGGCGGCAGGCTGCAGGCGCCATCGCGCGCTGGGGGGCGCGCATAATCTGCCGCCGCCTAGCCTGCTGAATTGGTCGAGCTGCTGCTGGTCACTTGGCGAGGCGCCTGGGCATTCCAGCTGTTCGAATCAGCCTCCGAAACCAGTAAGAGGCCACGGGTGATGGGACGAACGTCGTTCAAAGCATAGCCGCACGCGTCAAATCCGACAGTTCCCGCGTTGGTTTGGCCATTCGGCACTCAGTGACGGTGGCACCCTGAGCAATTCAGCAGGGTAGCAATAATATCACCACGTCTCTTGACTCTCACTGGCTCCAGGGGGCGGTAAGTGGACCAACATGGGCAGGTGACTTGACGAGGAGCCGAATTCGGGAGGACAGAGCGAACTTCGCCTGAAGGGCTTCAGTGCAATGCTCAAAGGTATCTTATATATTTTATGTCATCATCGTTCTTTAGCACGGCAGCGTGTCCTGAGTCCGTGAAGGCTTCGCCTGTGTTCACATTGCGAGCACAGCAAAACGGAACTCCATCCCTGAGACCCTACTCGGCCGATTCACGCGACAGAGGCATCCATAATGAATCGCAGGGTAGCTGTGCTGCTCGTCATTTGCGGGACTGCATGGACTGTGCGTGCGCAGTCCCCCGAAATCGTTTCTTCCCCCGAGAGCGTTCCAGTGGAGCCTCAGGACTCCTCCGTTTCTGCGCAAGCCACCAAGCCACGCCTTTCAGGTGTGAACCGGATCAATATGCCACGAAAGCTGCGAATGGCCCGGCGCCGTGGCCCGGCGTCACCCGCTGCCCGCTTGGCGGCCTGCACCTAGCCCGGGCCGGGCGCAATTCACACCACACGCCATGCCGCGGAGCGCAATTTACACCCAGCGGCAGCAAACTCCTCTCACTCACCCTCACTCACTGTCTCAATTCCTTTGCGCCGCAACCCGCAAACAACAGTATCCCTCGCGAGCGCGGCACCCCGCCTCTCTGCAAACTGGCCCGCCAAGGCCACCGGTGTCACCGTCTCCGTCGCCGCCGTCGTCGCCGCCGCCAGCCCGGCGGTCTCCCCAGACGCCCGCGCCGCCTGCGCCGCCGCCGGCGGGGCGGTCGTCTTCACAATTGACCCGGACTACTCTTCAAAGCTCCCCTACAACATCGAATCCACCCCGACTACTTGGACCTACAAGCTCGATTCGAAATACGCGACGCCGGTCAGCGGGCCGGTCAAGATCAAGTTCGTCGCGACCGCCGTGTGCAACGGCGGCGGCGCCGTCGTGGGGGCGCCCGACACCGCGAAGGGGACGCTCACGCTGATGATCTCGGTCGACCCCTGCGCCTCCTGCGTCAGCGGCTGCAAGACGGGGCCGGGTGAGTTGCATTAATGGGGGCGCGGCCTCCCGATTTTGCAGTCTCGCCTTGGGGGCACGCAGAGCGCGCACGGGCGCCGGCAGGGGCCTGGCAACAGACGCAACCATCCGCAATCCTGCGCCCGGCCCTGCCCCCTGCCCTCGCTGCCTGTCAAGGGGCGCCCTGGCCTTGCCCGCCCCGATGGAATCAAGCCGTGCGCGCAGCTCATACCCACGCACCCCCCCCCATGCATCCTTTCACCCTACTCATCACCCCCACCCAAACACACTCAGACACACACGCATGCACATCCACACACACACACACACACACACACACACACACAACCCACGCCGCGCACCCGCTGATCCCCCAAGGCGGCACCACCTGCGACGTCTACGCCGGCCACTGCCCCCCCTCCTGGCCCAACGCCAACGCCTTCACTGGTGTTGGCTGGTCCATGTCCCTCCACTTCTTCCCAAAATCGGGCCAGTCCCTCTGCAACAACCAGGCCTTCGGGTCCCACGCCACAAAAGTGTGTGTGTGGGGGGGGGGGGTGGTTGGGGTGTGTGTATG